CAAAATCATCTCCTAGTGCAGCACAGCTCTTCATTAATTAGGCCAGAATGTCAATTTTAATGAAGAAAATTATTCAACGAGGCCGTTAAAATTTTAATGGACACCATTCAAGTGAACATTGAGAAGTACAATTGCGATTAATGCAATTTTTACGGACGCTGTCGAAATAAATCACTTTCAAGAACCAGTGTGTGGTTGGGTTAAGGGTCAAATATTTATTCTTTAAAGCTTTCAGAAAGTGTTTCGTGCCTCGAGCATGTGTTTTGTGTGCGAGAGTGAAGCTTTTAATTGACTTTTTTCACAGGGTGGTGAAAAGATTAAAATGAATTATTTACGGTGGGTCTTTGTTTATCGCTTAATCCTCTTGCTGTGGATGTTTTTCTTTCGCCACCAACACACACACAGAGAAACAGCTGAAAAGCCACAACGTGGGATGACTTGTCATGGAGACTTATTAGAAGGTGAGCGGCGTGAAAAGGTGTAAAAGTGCCATCAAGTCTGGCGGCGCGCTTGGTTATGGTTTTGTGGTTGACAGCAAAACCGCCGGGGGTTAATTAGTGTTAGTTGTGGAAAAACTATGGCAATCAAGCTTGACACCAAATTAAATTGCAATTTATTATATTGTGGTGAAAATTCAGCAAAACTTCTTCTTCTCAACCCCGTGAGGAATTAAATTTGAATTAATCACACAGACTTGAATAGATGACAGTTTAAAGTTGCGAAAATCTCCTTTAATACAAATTGCCAAATGAAATGCCATCAATTTCGTATATATTTCAAGAAGTGCGGAAGAGAGATGAGATAAAAAAAAACCCACCCTTCTCAGATTTATCATTCCGTGTGTAACAAAATATCGCCATGAATTGTTAATCGTGGTGAACAAACGATGCCTCATCGTATGAATTTTTAATCGCTCAGAATGTCTTTTTGTGACACAATATTTTTTCCACTCAAGAAACCTCATTTTATTAGTGTTTCAATTTTGCGGGCGCTCACTTTAGCGACAATTTCATTCTGAAACATGCGAAGGGTGCATTTTGAATTGAGATTTTACCAAAAAAGATAGGAAAAAATACCGGCAAAGCCCTGTAAAAATAGCATCTGCATGAGATTCTGTCCAACTGACATGTCCAATAATTTTCTCTAATTACCGCTGAGAAGTAAATTGCAATTATTTGCTGGCAGAATTGCCTCTCGGATGTTGTAATGCTTCCAGGCATGAATTTTTAATTGCAACAATTTCCCTCTAATTATGGTTTGCGCCACTTGAACAACCCACAATAAGCGCCCCATTGTTTTCCACTTCTTTACCCGAAGGAGTGGAAATTTTTTTTCCTGCATTAATCCAGCATTGTCTAATACCTCAATTGAGAATCCCATTTTCCTTCTATGCATATAATTTCCTCTTCAATTTCCCCAGTGAAAGCTCTCGAAGGGGATTTTCAGGGTGGAGAACTATGCGGCGAATACTTCCAAAAGTAATTTAACAATAATGGGAGATTGTTAATTGTGGTTAGGTTCTTTTTTGCCCCGCGGGGAAAAGTATTCAAGTCTTTAGAGCGCCGACGAAAGGGAGAAAAAAACTCACCACTTGATGTATTTAGCGTACATTGCAACTTACCTGAAAGGAAAAGAAAAGGAGTCATTAGTTAGACTGTAATATGACAGGGTGTTGGACAATCTGAAGAGATGTCTGCAGAAAATCCACAGACACTTAGTGAACTTCTTATTCAGACTCTATTTTTCCGTCAAAAGCACTTTCCTCTCTTTTCTCTTCTCAAACTAATGGAGTCTGAGCTCTCTAAGGGTTGGTAATATCCCTTCTTGGTCGCGGTGTTTTTTTTTTCCCCCAAACACACCCCAAATGTGTTGCTGTGGTTGAAGAGTGTGGCAAAAAAATTAAAGTTTCTCCGTCTGCATAAGACGCGCTCTGCGGTGGGAGATAACTTTTGGCGTTTAGCTCTCACCATTTGAGCCATGTGTGTGTGTGTGTTGGGGTGCACAAAAAGGACCGAAATTCAGTCTAGACGATTCTCTTTTGTTAACCCAACAATGGGAGATCGATGAAAAAAATTTGGCCACTCTTTTGGGCGAGTTCGCTGTCAAAATGGCACTCAGAGTGAGCTTTTGAGGGATGATTTCTGGGGGTACAAAAGCGGTGCGCCACAGTTCTTCCTGTTTGCATTTCACCCCAAAAACCGACTGTGACGCTTCAATTGATGACTGACTTTGTGTGCAGAGAATAGTTTTTCAGCAGAAATACCTGATCAATCGATTGAATTGTCCCAGTCAATTGTCGGACGAGATTTTTATAGGGGATCAAACATTTGTTTACAGAAAAATCAGGAAAAAAGAATGTGTTTAAAGTGTGAGAGAGAAAAACCCGGCAAAGGAGCAAAAGGAGCAAAACCACAAAACCCAATAAGAATGGGAAGTGAAAGCGGAAAGGGCGAAATGTTATAATCAGGCCTGAGATGAGTGTAAATGTCGGAAGAACAAATGGGAAAACATTTCAGCAATGATGACCGACTACAAGTCATCTAAAAACAAAATTGATAGCCATCAGCTTTTCTGTGTTTAATTCTATGCGAACGGGAAAAATTAGTTTTTGTATCTTCGCCTTTTCTCTATATACATAAGCATTTTCCACCCTCCACATTATGTACATGCGGCCCACTTTTATTCTTTTCCCTCTTCAGTCTTCAGCCAGCGATATTGCTTTCGTGGTTTTGTCTTACAAAACCTCACACCAAAGGCAATGGCCATCCGGAAAAATCTAATGCTTGCGCACTTCGAGCACATATTTTTATATCCATTGATGACGGAGCAGTAATTAAAGTTAAGCTTTCACTGGGCACTGTCGTGGTGTCTTTCGCCAATTCCGGGCCTCGCAAAGGTCCGAAATTTATGACCAGAAATTCGTCACGACTCGCAAAACTCGCCCTGAAAGCGTGCACGGAATTCACACGAGCGATAGTGTTGGGCCATTTAGTCATTTCTCAAATATAATGGCTGATTAGCGCTGCCTTTCATTAAATATCTCTGGAATGTCCGGAAATATTACATGTGTGTGTGTGTGCTTTTGGGGAAAGACACGAGAAGGTCCTGTTATTGCCCTCCTTTTCCTAACACGCGCTGTGTGCAGAATACTGAGTGAAGTGACAACGTTAAGGGAGTTTTCCTCGAAACACCTGAAGTTTGTCATGACTTTTCAATCTCTTCTCAACTCTTCTCAATAATGGGGTAGTTTTCCCCCATTATTTTCCAACAAGTCCTTCAGCAATCCCATGCAATTTGCGCTGAGAAGCACTCAATATGCATTACATGCCATAAAATTTCCATAATTCTATGGAAATCATAAAAATATACCATCATAAAAAATGCTAAATATCCGACCTTTCAGAAACACTTAATCAAATTAATGACGCAAGAATTATGACTAATTTTTATCTGCCTGGCAGAACAATTTTCCTCCACCCAATGGTGGATTTTCACGTGATCGATTCTGACTTTGTCATGGGAGAAAGTTCAGCAGGGAGGGGAAAACAGAAGCCCGAGGTCAGTAAAGTTTTCTTCCCTCCGCAGCGCGTTATTGTTTTGACGTTAATGACATTTTCAGGCGGACAAGCTTGTCATTGTCACATTAAATCTCCATCTAAAGTGATTGGAGAATTCCTCAATTATTTCCTGACTTGGGCGTCATAACTTTGGAAAAGCTGAAATACAGTGCTTTTCTTGCTAAATTCTTCTGTCCTCTTTCCGTAATATAACTTTTGAAGATTCCTTGGGTCATCAGCTTTCCAACAATGCCTCATTTAGTTCCCTGAATCGTCAGGTTCTCCACCTGGAGCCTATTTTCCCCTATTTTCTCCGGTTTTGCCGCACATTTGTGCTCATATCTCGCCCAATTTTCCGCGGATTTTCTCCAAATTGGGCTCAAATGATAGATATTGAAATTATCTACATTTTTGCAGAACATTGTGGGAATTTTAGATAACTCCTTGTTGGTCAAAAATGGTTTTTTGCCCGCAACTCATCAAAAATTTGCCTCTTTTTGGCCACATTATATTATAAATATCTCCTAAATGAAAAAAAAACTTTATGATGGATTTTGGGGCTGAATTTCCTCTTTATATGCCAAAGTGATATTTCTTCTCCATCCGTCTGAAAAACAAGGTTTTCTCTCAACAAGTTTTGCTGCAGAGCATAAGATGCGCGCATTCGCCAAAAATTTAAACGCCGAATTGAGCCATGTGGAAAAGATGTTTACCCTCACTGGTTTTAATCTAAATTATCTACATTCATTGACCAATAAAGAAGCTATATAATGATGCATAGCTTGATAGACGACACTGAAAACTCTCCGCGGACGCGAGAGAAAACTCCAAATACATTTTATATGGGAACTTCAACTACTGCAGAAGAATCGATTGGATCGATTACACTACAAGACTGGATGATAACTTTCAAGCTGAAAGCATAATCTAAAATCCAACAAGTTCATTTGCACAATGAAAGAAAGATTGTGGACTATAATTCACTGGTCGTGTGCAAACATTCTGTCAGGAAGTCAAGATAAGTGATTGGATAACATACTTTTATCACTGCTATTTTAATTATGACGAATAATTAAAACATAAAGATTCAAACAATTTAGTTTAGATGATAAGACAATTATCGTAATTAATCTATGTCGCATTATTGTCGTGAATAAAAGAATAATTAAAAAAATTTTTATCTTTATCACACGAAAGAAAGTGACAGACAAATAACTGTGAGATTGTAAAATCTCTGTGTATAAGTTTAGGCACAATTACATTGTGACAATAAAAGAGTTTATGTGGTAAGAGACATCTGTTGATGCGAAAAGTAAATATAAATATTAAGATATATAAATGTCTTGCGATAAGATGTGCGAATATCCTTATATAAGAACCGCTTGGCGAATTCGTAATTTTAAATGAAATTTTGACTCAGTGAGTGAAGTGCTCTTATTCAGAATGCTGCGACTTTCACTAATCTTAGCTGCTGTGCTGTACAGTTTAGCCCTTCCGGCTCAGACTCCTTTCCAGATTGGTTCAGACTTGGATTCTCTCTCTGCGGTCAGTATAAGTTGATTAAGTGTTTGGAAACAGTGCTAAATGGTTGAATTTGTCAGGTGGAAATGATTGTGTGGTACGGATATCCAGTCGAATCGCACGTCGCTGAAACTAAAGATGGCTATCTTCTCACCATGCACCGAATTCCTTATGGCAAAGCCCCAGGAGCCGGACCCGCTCCAAATAAGCCCGTGGCTTTCCTCCAACACGGACTCCTAAGCTCGTCCGCTGATTGGCTGGTGATTGGACCGGACAATGCTCTTGCTTACCTTCTGGCTGACCAAGGATACGACGTGTGGATGGGAAACGCAAGAGGAAACACCTACTCAAGAGCCCACAAAACTCTTGACCCCGACAATTTGGCCGATCGGCCTAAATTCTGGGACTTCAGCTGGCACGAGATTGGCATTTACGATCTTCCTGCGATGATTGACTACGTTTTAAATACAACGAAACAGACCAAATTGACTTATGTTGGACACTCGCAAGGAACAACAACTCTGTTTGTGATGCTTTCCCAACGCCCTGAGTATAATAATGTCTTGAAGTCAGCTCATGCTTTGGCTCCACTTGCCTTTATGCAGAACTTGAAAAGTCCATTCATTAAGGCATTAGCTCCGTATGCAGATACTCTTGGTAAGTTCCATTAATGCATTTTTAGAGCTTGGATCTCTTCTGCTATTAGTCTGTGGCGTCATCGATGACACCGCCATATTGATTTAAGTTTGAACGCCTGCATCTCGGCAACTTGACGATGCATTTTGATGGGATTTTAGTACGTTGTAGTCCAGATCAGGACGTCTCTGAGAACAGGTTATAACTCTCCATGGAATTCATAGATCCGGAGTTATGGCGGTTTAAAGTTTTGATTTTGTATCTCCTAAAACTTTGGTTCTTATTGTCCAATCTCAATAATCTTGAGCTCGTCTGAAACCTCTCACATAACTCTAAAAAAAAAGTGAACGAAACAACATGTTGAGCTGACTTTTCTTCATTATATTTTATTGTACATCATTAAATTTGTTTTATTGTAAATCTAAATTTCTACTATGCATTTTGATTCGCAGATTTTTTGGCAAGGTTAATTGGAGTGGATGAATTCTTACCCAGTAATGAGATGATGCAATTGGGAGGACAATTGGCATGCATGGATGGATCGCTGTTCCAAGAAGTGTGCGTTAATGTACTTTTTCTTACGACGGGATATGATTCAGAACAGCTAAATCGGGTATAATATCTATAATCATTCATTAGCGCATAATCCCTTTGTTCATTATTACTCCATTTTCAGACACAACTTCCGGCCATTTTGCACAATGTACCCGCTGGAGCGTCAAGGCATCAGATTGTGCACTATGCACAACTTTACAATTCTGGTTACTTCAGACAATTCGATAAAGGATTGATCGCCAATCTTCGAAAATATGGTTCCATCACTCCTCCAAAATACGCTTTAAAGAAAATTTCTGCTCCTATCGGTCTTTACTACGGTACCAACGATTGGTTGGCTTATGTTAAAGATGTGGAAAAGCTAAGAAGTCAACTACCAAACGTTATTGAAGATTATATTGTGCCGTACAACCGTTTCAATCATATTGACTTCGTGTGGGCTATTAATGTCAAATCAATGCTCTATGATAGACTCATTTCTGTAATGGAGCTCTATAATAATTGAGGATATTTTTAGTGTGTAAAAGAATGAGAATTATGTTGTTGTCCAGGAAGAACATTTCTGGACAACGCGAGAGGCACAGAAGCGAAATAACACAATTATTGTCAGCAGTTTTGTAACAATAAGCTGATAATATACTGTGAAAAAGAATTTCCTTTATAAAACGGTTTTGGGCATGAAATAAATCAGATGTCAAGATATCAAGATACCGAGCTATAGTCAAGTAAGAAGTGTCTTTTACTGTGGCCATCATCACTCCTGAGGAAACCACCTCGAAAGTCTTCACTCCGAAGCATCCATCGAGATCCAAGGTGTCTCACGAACGACGGAATCGCCAAAGTAGCTCAAGTCAGTGAAAATAAGACTGATGATTAGTTCCCAAGAGCCATCTCAAACCAGAGATTGCGGCCTTTGGACTGTGGATTATAATTCACTGGTCGTGTGCAAACAATCTATCAGGAAGTCAAGATAAGTAATTGAATAACATTCTTTTACCACTGATGTCTTGACTATGACGAATAATTAAAACATAAAGTATAGTTTCAAACAATTCAGTTTGGATGATAAGGAAATTATCGTAATAATTCTATGTCGTGTTATTGTCGTAAATAAAAGAATAATTGAAAATTTTTTTTTTATCTTTTTCAGACAGACAAAACACCGCGAGATCGTAAAATCTCGGTGTATAAGAATAGCCACAATTGAATGCCTTACATAACATTTACAAAAGACTACACGTGCCAGTAACTGTTGATGCGGAAAGTAAAAAGGACGTTTTGAGCGAACGCTTGTGGTCAGCTGGGCGTCGCCAACTCGACCAAACGCTGTTTTAATCGAAACATTTCAAACCGCCATAACTCAGGTTCTATGGCAGTGACAAATGAGTTTAACTCCATTTCGGAAACGTCTCAAACTGATCTAATTAAGTATCCAAAAATTACTTTCAAAATAGAATAACCTTAGAACAAATTTTATGACTTTACAATTTCTAAGATATTATCACTGACATTAGCGATTCTACATGTAATCAGATGACTAAAACCTACTTTAGAGACGTCCTGACCTGGACTTCAACATTCCAGAATTTAAAGAAAATGCATGATGAAGTTGTCGAGATACAGGCGTTCAAAGGTTTTTCAATATGGCGGCATTCTTTACGACGTCATAGACTACAAGTCCATTTACTAGGAATCGACCAACAGTCGGTACCCAAAAAAAAGCGACCCCCTTGTTTTTCGTAATGTTTCGTGATGTTAAGCCTCCCTGATGTGATTTTGTGAGTATTTGTATTTCGTGCGATTACAAGATCCGCTGGCGTTGCCCAGCTGTAATAAACGCTATTATTATAAATATTAAAATATATTAATGGCTTGCGATAAGATGTGGATATCCTTATATAAGAACCGCTTTGTGAATTCGCAATTCAAAATTAAATTTAGGAGCAGTGAGTGAAGTGATCTTATTCAGAATGCTGCGACATTTACAAATCTTAGCTGCTGTGGTGTACAGTTTTGCCCTTCCGGCTCAGTCTTTCATTCATTTTCATAGTGATTCAGACTTGGATTCTCTCTCTTCGGTCAGTATAAGTTGAATAAGTGTATGAAAAGAGTGCTAAACGGTTGAATTTGTCAGGTGGAAATGATTGTGTGGTACGGATATCCAGTCGAATCGCACGTCGCTGAAACTAAAGATGGCTATCTTCTCACCATGCATCGAATTCCTTTTGGCCGAGCCCCAGGAGCCGGACCCGCTCCAAAAAAGCCCGTGGCTTTCCTCCAACACGGACTTCTGAGCTCGTCCGCTGATTGGCTGGTGATTGGACCGGACAATGCTCTTGCTTACCTTCTGGCTGACCAAGGATACGACGTGTGGATGGGAAATGTAAGAGGAAACACCTACTCAAGAGCCCACAAAACTCTTGATCCGGACAATTTGGCCGATCGGCCTAAATTCTGGGACTTCAGCTGGCACGAGATTGGCATTTACGATCTTCCTGCGATGATTGACTACGTTTTACATACAACGAAACAGACCAAATTGACTTACGCTGGACACTCCCAAGGAACAACATCTCTGTTTGTGATGCTCTCCGAACGTCCTAAGTATAATAATGTCTTGAAGTCAGCTCATGCTTTGGCTCCAGTTGCCTTTATGAAGCACTTAAAGAGTCCATTCATTAAGGTATTAGCTCCAATAGTGGATGTTTTCGGTAAGTTCCATTCCCCAAAAGATGTTTCTCGACGCCCTTTAGTAGGCCACATCAGCTATTAATCTGTGGCGTCATCGGTGACACCGCCATATTGATTTAACTTTGAACGCCTGCATCTCGGCAACTTGACGATGCATTTTGATAGGATTTTAGTATGTTGTAGTCCAGATTAGGACGTCTCTGAGAATAGGTTATAACTCTCCATGGAATTCATAGATCCGGCGTTATGGCGGTTTAATGTTTTGATTTTGTATCTCCTAAAACTTTGGTTCTTATTGTCTCATTTCAATAATCTTGAGCTCGTCTGAAACCTCTCGCATAACTCTAAAAAAAAAGTGAGCTAAACAACGCGTTGAGCTGAATTTCCTTCCCTTTGCATCTTAATTCACAGATGATTTGACAAGCTTAATTGGAGTGGATGAATTCTTACCCAGTGACGACCTTTTGCAAATGGGAGGACAAGTAGCATGCATGGATGGATCGCCGTTCCAAGAAGTGTGCGCCAATGCAGTTTTTCTTGCGATGGGATATGATTCAGGACAGCTAAATCGGGTATTATATCTATAATCATTCATTAGCGCACTATCTTTACTATTACTACATTTGCAGACACAACTTCCGGCCATTTTGCACAATGTACCCGCTGGAGCGTCAACGGAACAGCTTGTTCACTATATACAACTTCACAATTCTGGTTACTTCAGACAATTCGATCACGGATTACTCGGCAATCTCAAAAAATATTATTCTTTCTCTCCACCAAATTATCCTCTAAAGAAAATTTCTGCTCCTATCGGTCTTTACTACGCTAGCAACGATTGGTTGGCTAATGTTACTGATGTGGAAAAGCTAAGAAGCCAACTACCAAACGTTATTGAATATTATAATGTGCCGCTAGACCGTTTCAATCATATTGACTTCCAGTGGGGTACTGATGTCAAATCATTGGTCTATGATAGACTCATTTCTGTAATGAATCGCTTTAATTGAGCATTTCAGTGTGCAAACAGAATGAACGCGAGAGGCACAGAAGCGAAATAACACAATTATTGTCAGCAATTTTGTGACAATAAGCTGATAATATACAATAAACAAATTTTCTCTTTATAAGACGGTTTTGGGCATGAAATAAATCAGATGTCAAGATATCAAGATACCGAGCTATAGTCAAGTAAGAAGTGTCTTTTACTTAAGTTAAGTCAAGTAAGAGAAAATGTATTGATTATGCTTTGAGTCCTTTTACTCCTTGTTTACCGCCTTCTGCCATCTTGCATCGTGTGATGTTCGAAGACTCATCAAAAGTGTGAGGACTTGATAGATTCGCAGCTCCTGCTGAAGCCATCCTTGGGCTGCTCTTATTATTCGACTCTCGTCCCTCCTTCCAAATAAACACTCATGTTCCGTTCTGTTTTCCTTTCACTCCTTCTTCCCTGACATATTACGTCTTCCCACACAATCACGAGGCACTCAGTCGTTCTGGGGCGAGTCGTAAAATTATTTCATGTATATTTTTTTCATTAAAAGCCCCCACCGTCGCCCCATAACTTCGCAATGGTATGGCGGATGAATGGAGTTGTTTATTAATGTGGGCATTGTGTTGTTGGGATCGTGAAAAAGGAAATACGACGAGCAGAAGCGGAGATGCAAAAGTTGGCATTTTCTCATGTAAGAACATCGGTGGGGAGACAAAATGTGGGGCGGTGTGCTTTTCCACCCCAAGATACACTGACCCCATAAATGCCCTATGTAAAAATATTTTCACATAAATCCCTAAAATGATGCCATAGACCTCCATCGGACAAATACGGCGGCCAACAATAGCAACAAGAGGAAGGCTGCCTGGCGCCATTGTCGTCCGGAAGTTGCACAGCTTTGGAATCTAAATTTCACCATCTCCATTGTTCCCTGGCCGCATTTTCAGATGCTCTCTCTCACTCTGGTCACACATAAAAGCTCACTGTGGAAACACAATCATCTCGCCATTTTGCTGCAATTCCATATTTTTTCTCTTTCCTTTTGCTAAAATATTATTTCTACACTCTTTTTCCTACTATTTCACTAAATGTAGAAGTTTTTCCAGTATTTGACCTGCCGAGATTTATGGCATCACTTCGCGCATTTTGAACGCACAATTTTTCAGAAGACACATCAAGACATAAACTATATAGGGAATTGTGTGAATAACTTGTATGGGCGGAGTATTCATGTGGGCGTGGCTTAGACAGCATTTCACAACATTGCAAGTAACTCCTTCTGTGTTTGTTCAATGTTTCTGGTGTCTTCAGATGAGTTTAAGAGCTTTCAAAGACCTCTTCAAAATTGCTAAAATTGTGAAAATCGATTAAGAATTGTACTCATGGCGGTAGAAAGAATGTGAAGTTGAATGCCTCAGCGAGCGTCGCACCTTCTTTCACTCAAAGCTTCTCTGTTGATTTAACCTGATGTGAAATGCGTGGGTTTCACTCAAATGGTCAACAAGGGGCACGTTACAGTTTTATGACAAATTTACTGGCATTGTGCAATAAAAGCAAGACTCGCCTCAATCCCAATAGCGGCGCCCGTGTGGGGTGAAGTCAGTGGTGTGGAACAGGACTCGAGACTTGCACAAGAAAAGGTGATAAACACAGTCAAGTTGAAATCTCCCAGGCCATTTCCTCCACCCACTCCGGCATTCGGGGGAGGGGAAAAAGAAAGCTCACCTCAAATGCCGGAGTGGATGTCGGAAGGCAGCAGATAACGAAGCAGTCACATAAATTTGCCGATTTATATACGGGCGAGACGTGAGATGTGGGAA